CCCTGAATGGTTTAGCACCTCAGTATTTGAACGAGCTCTTATTGCTGCGTTCTCAAAACTCTTGTTATATCTAATACCTAGAATATCAAAATCAACTGCGGGCAGCAGATCCTTTGCCTATTTAGCGCCCAAACTCTGGAATAATCTACCTAACACTGTTCGGGAGGCAGACACACTCTGTCAGTTTAAATCTAGATTAAAGACCCATCTCTTTAACCTGGTTTACACATAACACACCAACACATTTATAATATTCAAATCCGTTAAAGGATTGTTAGGCTGCATTAATTAGGACAACCTGTCTGTTTCTCTCCTAATCTGAGGTCACCGTAGCCACCAGATCCAGTCTGTATCCAGATCAGATGGTCACTGCAGTCGCCCGGATCCAGTCTGTATCCAGCCCAGATGGTGGATCAGCACCTAGAGATGACCTCTACAGCCCTGAATGTCAGCGGAGACCTTGTCAACTAGATGAGCCCCAGAGACAGATCCCGTTCCTCTGGCTTGCTTAGTTGGGGACGCTTCATTTCCAGCGATATCGTGGACTTGATTGCACAGATACTATTTAAACTGAACTGAGCTGGACGATGACATCACTGAATTCAATGATGAACTGTGTTTACTGTTGTCCTTCTGCATTATTGACACAATATTTTCATATTTAATACTGTACAGCTGCTTTGACACGATCTGTATTGTTACAAGCGCTTGATAAATAAAGCTGACTTGACTTAATAAACACTAATGTGTCATGAATGCACACTATTTTTAAAATGTCAATTTAATCAAACCAAAACTGCAGTTTTTGTTAAAAACGAGACATTTTTGTTTTCATGCCTGATTTTACTCGCTGAGATCATTTTCTGTCAGTATGTTTCATGTTGAACTTCCATTAAAAACTGTTACTACATTTATAAAGGCAAGACAGCAAAACAACCACAACATTTACATGGATTTACACTTTATTTATGCACAAGGCCATAATATCAACTCAATTCTGAGGCCATTTCAATCTGATAAAGAGGGAAAATCCACATAATTTACAAACTTTGCCGAATGAATGCATTAAGATCCATCTGGTTATGAGTTATTTTCCAGCCTGAGCGATCAGTTCAGATCTCTGGGAGATTAATCAGTGATTATAAACGACAGAAAACTAACACAGGCCTCATCAACCATCCATAATGATGCATAAATCACAAAAATAAACCTATTCTAACAAAAGGAACACATAATCCATAAACTGAGCAAAACATGTTTAGTATTAAACAAGAAGCCATAGAAATATGAGGGTTAATGAGCTTATCATCAAGTAATATCCTGAGAAATATTGATTCACAATGGCTTTTTACAAAGATTGTACAAGCTAATGCTGTAAATGTGAAAAACGGCCAGTTCTATCCATCATTAGCAGAAAATGAAAGTATTGCTCCATCCACATGATTCAGCTGGAGATATGAATGACTCCAGAATACCCTGCATACTCTCATGCTTACTGTGGTATTGATGAGGTGAAGCAGCACACCTGCAGATGATGTGTTTGTGTTCACAGGTTCACGTCTCATTTCCTCCTCTCTCGGACTGATGAAGATCTCCTCCTCCTCCTCCTCTGGATCACCACACTCGTCTCAGGCTAAATCTCGGTGAAGGACTGCAGGATTACGCTGGGCAAACGTCTCTTCAGCACTAAACACCAAACAGATCTCATATTAAATGATGGCAGCTGTATTTCAGGCTTTCTGAAGCTCAAATTCAAGACTTTTTAAAACCTGCACAAATAAATTTAA